ATGACTGGCATAGATCCAGAGGCTGGATGGCCATCTGTCAGGGGTGATTTGAATGCAATATTCCTGCTTCTTGGCAGGGGGTTGGACTGGATGGCCCATGAGGTCTCTTCCAACTCTTTGATTCTATGATTCTAGGTGCAATGTCAGGAGAGAATGCTTCTAGAACATGGCCATATAGCCCGAAAAACTTACAACTTCTGAAATTGTATCAGTTTTTCAGACACCTTTGAGTGTCTGACAAGAGGGACACAAATAAAAATAATACCAATGATAACACCGTGTTGTTGAAGGGCTTCATGGCCTAAATCATTGGGTTGCTGTGAGTTTTCCAGGCTGTATGACCATGTTCCAAAAGCATTCTTTCCTGATGTTTTGCCTGCATCTATGGCAGGCATCCTCTGAGGTTGTGAGGTCTATTGGAAATAACAACACTCTGAAAACAGGAAAATTCCAGTCAAGAAACAATCAGGGCCAGCTAACATCTCCCAACAAAGGATTTCGACAGGCAGGAATCAGCCAAGCTTTGAAGCTGCAAGGCTATTCAGTGCTAATCAAGGTGATCAATTCCAGCATTCATACTTGCCTCACACAGAGTTCTTTTTCCCACTCTGGACATAATTCCACAGAACTTGCCTAGTTTCGAATACATCTCTCAGTGTGTTGTCGAAGTCTTTCATGGCCAGAATCAATGGGTTGTTGTGAGTTTTGAGGTTTGTTGGAAAGTACTGGATAGCATTGAAGCTGTAAGGCTATTCAATGCTAATCAAGGTTATCAACTGCAGCACTCTCATTTCTCTCCAACGAACAAGAGTTCTTTCTCCCACCCTGCACATTATTCCACAGATATATAAACCCTACTTGCCTTGTTTCCAACAAACCTCAAAATCTCTGAGGATGTCTCCTATAGATGTGGGTATTTATTTATTTATCGTGTCAGAAGGAACCAGACAGTTGTATTACATTTTTAACAAAACAGACAGACAGGCAAAACACAAAGTTTGCAAGCTTGGTAGTTGATTAGATGTCCTTTGACCAGTATCTGGCCACTTGGAGTGCCTCTGGGGTTGCCGCAAGAAGGTCCTCCATTGTGCATGTGGCAGGGCTCAGGTTACATTGCAGCAGGTGGTCTATAGTTTGCTCTTCTCCACACTCGCATGTCCACTTTGTAGCCCCATTTCTGAAGGTTGGCTCTGCATCTTGTGGTGCCAGAGCGCAGTCTGTTCAGTGCCTTCTAAGTCGCCCAGTCTTCTGTGTGCCCAGCGGGGAGTCCCTCATTTGGTATCAGCCATTGATTGAGGTTCTAGATTTGAGCCTGCCACTTTTGGACTCTTGCTTGCTGGGGTGTTCCAGCGAGTGTCTCTGTAGATCTTAGAAAACTATTTATTGATTTAAGTCGTTGACATGCTGGCTGATACCCAAACAAGGGGATGAGCTGGAGATGTCACTGCCTTGGTCCTTTCACTATTGGCTGCTACTTCCTGGCGGATGTCAGGTGGTGCAATACAAACTAAACAGTGTAATTTGTCCAGTGGTGTAGGGTGTAGATAATGCGGCATGTCTCATTAAGAGCCACATCCACTGTTCTAGTGTGATGAGATGTGTTCCACACTGGGCATGCATACTCAGCAGCAGAGTAGCATAGCGCAAGGGCAGATGTCTTCACTGTGTCTGGTTGTGATCCCCAGGTTGTGCCAGTCAGCTTTCATATGATATTGTTTCTAGCACCCACTTTTTTCTAGATATTCAGGCAGCGTTTCTTGTAGGTCAGAACACAGTCCAGAGTGACTCCCGGGTATTTGGGTGTGCTGCAATGCTCCAGTGGGATTCCTTCCTAGGTCATCCTCAGAGCTCGGGATGCTTGTCTGTTCTTAAGGTGGAAAGCACATGTCTGTGTTTTAGATGGATTAGGGATCAGCTGGTTTCCCCTGTAATAGGCAGTAAGAGCACCTAGAGCTTCGGAGAGCTTCTGTTCTACCATCTCAAAGCTCCCTGCTTGAGCAGTAATGGCATGATCATCAGCATAGATGAAACTCTCTGTCCCTTCTGGCAGTGGCTGGTCATTTGTGTAGATGTTGAACATGGATGGAGCAAGCACGCTCCCCTGAGGCAGGCCGTTCTTCTGTTTCCGCCAACTGCTTCTCTGGCCCTGGAACTCAACAAAAAAGCTCCTGTTTTGTAGCAGGTTTCCTATGAGGCAGGCGAGATGGTAGGGTGAAACGTCAGGAGAGAATGCTTCTGGAACATGGCCATACAGCCTGGAAAACTCACAGCAACCCAATGAAAGCACCAGTGATCACTGTTGCCATCTGAGTGGCAACCAATAGCATTGTGTATAGATATGAATGCAACGCAATGTTGGGGTTCAGCCCGGGTGTGAACCTGAACCTGAATCTGATTCTCTGATTGTATTTCCTGATGCTAATGAAAATGTTAATTCTGAGGTCAGTGTAGAAGAAACTCCTGCAGGCTTGGAAAGTGAAAGTACACATTCTCATGAGAATGTTTCAGAGCCAAGCAGTGATAGCTCTCCAGAGAAGCTAACACCTGGGATCCTTAATGAGGATAGAAGAGGACAGATTTGGCAAAACGGGTGAATCGCAGAGTTTGCGAAGGTCAGCCAGATTGAAAGAAAAAGAAGCAAGGGCTTCAAAGCCTGGAGGCGTGTCACGAAACAGATTCCTCAGCTTTAAGTGCCTCTCACCGTGTTGACTCTTTAGATCAGGCATCGTTTTAGACTGAGGCATTACCTTAGCAGATCTCCCGTTTCCCGTGGCCTTCATCCCAAGAGGCTTCTAGTGCTCAAAGTACGGTTAGTGGATTGCTAACAGGTTCCAGGATTTTACAGTGTTGCTTTTGGTTTTTGATCCAGTACATGGAAATTTCTGGTTGCTGATTTTTTACTGTGGCTTTTTGACTTTGCATTTTCCTCTATTTTGTAACCATTTTTCATCAATAAAAAGGGATTGTTTTTTCCCACAGTCAAGTATGGTGGATTGTTGTCTTAGGGTCTCGTTTCCTGCTCTGGGTTGCAACACGCAAACACAGTCTTATTGTAAAAAAGGAAGAGAACAAACGATACCACCGGATAGTATTTATTTTACAATATGCACATTTATTGGAGGTGGGGAAACTAACCCTCCACAGGAAAAATACACTTAACAGAGGCACGTTTGGCCCAAATCTGGTACTTATTACAATTCCAAACCAATGCTTTTTTTAATGCAAAAATATGGGAAACCAAATGCTCTCTTTCCAAACATCCAAAGGGCAAGTTTACCAATGGAGCACAATCTCACATCAATTTCAGCGCTATTTTCTTACCAAAAAAAGAAAACAGTGTTGTAGGTTTGGACAACAAGAGCCTGGGAATTGACTTAACAAACATTCAAGGTGGGGGCGGGAAGCATAGGTTTATCTTTTTTTTTTCCTGGCAAGAAAACGTTGCCTCTTTAAATACAGCTCAGCCAGGACTCACGGAACATAAAAAAGGAGGGTTTCCTCAATCATAAAAAAATACTATAATTCATCACCAGACTATTTCTTTTTACAGATATAAATAATAAATAGCATAACACAGATTACAAATGGATCTCTCTCTCATGAAATAACGAATCCTCGAAGAGTTGGGAGGCCGACTCTTGCTCCTTCCACCTAACTCTTAGTGTTTATACCAGGCACGGGCGAATTTTGGCCCTCCAGGTGTTTTGCACTCTAACTCTCACAATCCCTAACAGCCTCAACCTCCTTCCTTTTCTCCTTTTAAGTCCAAAACACCAGCAGGGCCAAAGTTTGCCCATGCCTGGTCTAGACAAACGGTAAAGCCTTTACAATAACTGATGTTATCTTATTGGCCTGCTCCTTATATGCTGCAATGAGATCCAAAACGCGTGCGGATTCCTCTCCAAAGTGGATTGAGGGGGAAAGGAGCCATGACAATAGAACTCTTTGCAACCGAAGGGCCTCTTCATTTCCCCCCAAAACCCCTCTGCTTTTACATTCCTCCTTTTTGCGGCTATGTCATTCGAAGGCACAATACATCTCCAGGACACTGACCGCTCCCATAAACCTTGGCAAACGTTGGCCGCGGATCCCACAACGAAGATGCCTCTTAAGTTCCTGCATAACTATGGCCTACAAAGCAGCAGCACCCCATAAAAAGACTGGCTGCTCCCATCAACCTTTGCAAATGGTGGCCGCAGATCCCACACTGAAGATGCCTCTTAGGTTCCTGCAGAACTGAGTCTATGGCCCACAAAGCAGCAGCACCCCATAAAAAGACTGGCTACTCCCATAAACCTTTGCAAACGGTGGCAGCAGATCCCACACCGAAGATGCCTCTTAGGCTCCTGCAGAACTGAATCTATGGCCTACAAAACAGCAGCACCCCATAAAAAGACTGGCTGCTCCCATAAGCCTTTGCAAATGGTGGCCGCAGATCCCACACTGAAGATGCCTCTTAGGTCCCTGCATAACTGAGTCTATGGCCCACAAAGCAGCAGCACCCCATAAAAAGACTGGCTGCTCCCATCAACCTTTGCAAATGGTGGCCGCAGATCCCACACTGAAGATGCCTCTTAGGTTCCTGCATAACTGAGTTTATGGCCCACAAAGCAGCAGCACCCCATAAAAAGACTGGCTACTCCCATAAACCTTTGCAAACGGTGGCCGCAGATCCCACACCGAAGATGCCTCTTAGGTTCCTGCAGAACTGAGTCTATGACCCACAAAGCAGCAGAACCCCATAAAAAGACTGGCTGCTCCCATAAGCCTTTGCAAACGGTGGCCGCAGATCCCACACTGAAGATGCCTCAGGCTCCTGCAGAACCGAGTCTATGGCCCACAAAGCAGCAGCACCCCATGAAAAGACTGGATGCTCCCATAAACCTTTGCAAACGGTGGCCGCGGATCCCACACTGAAAATGCATCTTAGTGTCCTGAAGAATTGAGTCTATGGCCCACAAAGCAGCAGCACCCCATAAAAAACCCCACTCCCAGAGACATTGTTTTTGCTCTGCAGCCTTTGCCCACAGAAGGATCCACTGGAAATCTTTGGGAAAGATGAAAAAGGGGAAATAACTTCCTATTAAGTGCATTCTGGGTTGGGGATTTGGGGTCCCAAATATCTCAGCAGGGGAAAACCACTTTTATTTTTTCCTGAACCAAGAATCGAGGCTCATCTAATCGATTTAGATGGGGGGAAATGGAGTCTCAAACCAAAAAGCTCCATAATTGCTATTCTGACCTCATGATAGCAACAGGTTTTTCCATCTGCTAATATAAATGAGGGATTTTTTTTTTTTAAAAAAGGCTATCTAGTTTTCTCCGGAAGCAAGGTTTGTGTGCTCTGAGCAGAAGCAAGAAAAACAATCTTGAAAAATCAAACGGGACATCCACAGGGCCCTGATAAAGGAGAATCAAAACCACATGGAGACGTTGCCAAAAAAAAGAAGTCAATGTTAATATTTCCACTCCGGGTTCATACCCTGGCATCCTAGAGGATTCAGCTCGGCGGACTTCTCTGTACCAACATACAGCGAGGGAATGGCGCAGGTGGAGGCTGGCCGAGGGCCCAGCAAAGTCACTTGGGCGAAAGGTCCTCCATCAAGAGGAAGGAGGAGCAGGAGTCGGGGCAGGTGAGGGGAGACTCCGCAGCCGCCGCTCCACCGCCTTTGGCCAAGGAGTCAGAGGAAGAGCCCATGCTGCTGCTGCTCCCGTCAAGGAGGTCCGAAGACAAGCTAGAGACAGAGAGAGAAGAAGGAGGGAAGGCATGGGGTTTGTGGGAAGTTAAAGGCAACATCAACAAAACCAGAGATTCACAGACTGAAAACCATTAGGCGCTTGGTTTACACGGCGGAAAAAAGATCCCAGCACCCCAGCCCAACTTTCAAAGCATTATATCAGAATGTGTTGTCGAAGGATTTCATGGCCGGTTGCTGTGGGTTTTCTGGGCTGTATGGCCATGTTCCAGAAGCATTCTCTTCTGACATTTTGCCCACATCTATGGCAGGCATCCTCAGAGGTTGAGGGGTCTGCTGGAAACTAGACAAGTGAGGTTTACATGTCTGTGGAGGGTGGGAGAAAGGACTCTGCTTGAGGCAAGTGTGAATGTTGCAATAGACCATCTTGAATGGCCTTGCAGCTTCAAAGCCTGACTAGTTGCTGCTCCCTGCATGCTCCCTGCATGAGGTCACTTTTGCCGAGTGCCCGGCAACGCCGGTGCGCGTCCCTCTCCTGGCGTTAGGAAGCACGCGCCCTGCATCGCCCTCCTTCCCAACGCACTTCCTAACGCCAGGAGGGGAACGCACGCCGCCGCCCCAAGATGCGCGCTCTACGCAAAAGCGTAATTTGCGCCTTGAGCCGCCCCTGGACCCAGCACCAATAGTCCAAAGTGTTAAAAAGAACAAAAACACACAGACCAAGGTTATCTCTTCCGTGGGAGGCTTTGTAGTAAAATAATATGGTCGCACTATTTACAAGAACAAGGTTTCCATAAAACAAATAAACAAATACATAGTTGCTTTAAACACAGCAGCCTTCACACTGGAGCTTTCTCACGTGAGGCTTCTCTCATACTGAGATGTACCCCGCACTCCTCAGGACGACACTAGCATTGGCCCACTGACTCTTAACAGGGTTTGGCCTACTAACTCTTTCAGTGCTTGACTCACACTTCTGTAATATACCTAGTTAATTTTTAATATTTCTGACAGAAGACTCCACAAGACTCCTAGGCAGTGAATACTTTACTAGAGTTAGAAGGTTCTCCAAAGAGCATCTAGTCCAACCCTCTTTGGCCAGGCAGGAAGACACAGCCAAAGCCCTCTTGACAGATGGCTACCCAGATTCAGTTAAAAAATCTCCAGAGAAGAAGATTCCACCAGACTCCAAGTAGAGTTGGAAGGGTTCCCCAAAGGGATGCAGTCTAAACCCCTGGCAGATGGCCATCCAGCCTCCGTTTAAAATCTTCCAGAGAGGTTTAATCCCTACAGAAGTGACATACTGGTGCTGTTCAAGTGTAGGAAGTGCTATAACCTTTAAAATTTGCACCATTTGTTGAGCTGCAGAAATTACTAATAAAATGGCAATTAAGACGAGAAAATGTGTTGACAATGATGTTTGCAATGAAGCACATGGAGGGAAGTCTACACAAAAATCAACTGCAGTACAGAAGTGTACAGGAAAAAATCCAAATAAGGGATTTTGCTAGTAAAACTGAATTACTGTGCCACAAAAGAATGCATACCCATCTAAAATGCATGTTACCAACATGAACAGTTTGGAAAGCTCTGCATTGTATTATGCCTTATTACCATTTAAGTATGGTTTTATACTAAATGTTCACTTGCAGGCTTTCTCAGCTGTTTACAACTTGAGGAGCCAGAAAACAACTGGTATCATGGCAGCTCAGCCAACTGTAGCTTCACTACAAGGTTGTCAGATGAAAGGAAATATGAAGTTGCCTTACACCAGGCCCTTCTGGTCCATGTCGATCAATGTAAGGTACATTTCACTGGAAGTACACTTAATGACCAAGGATGGACCATAGATGATGGGACTCGCAGTACCTTCACTAAGTTCCTGAGACAACTGCGAGCCATATAAATAACTGATAAAGACCAACCTTGATATACAATTCCTTTCTCTAATAACTCGGACAGCGCCGGGTCCCCAAGCTAGTATATAATAAAGTAAAATAACGAACAAGGTGGTGAAAGGATCAATGTTACTTTCACTGAACTGTGATGGCCACCTTAAGGTCACTTTTACCAGGAACTGAGGTCTGTCAGTTGCGTCACATCCGGAGAAAGCATGTTTGTGGTTCCTTGGAATAGTCTCTTTGGCTGGCTTTCCGTCTCCATTTCACCTACGGTAAAAGAAAACCAAGGTTATCCGAGAGAAGGAAGGAAATGTTCTAGCTCCTCTCAGAAGACCAAGAAAGGTTTCCAAATTTTGTCAGGAAGGGAACGGAAAGTACACTTCACAGGGACCATGTTTTTTTTCTGAAACACAGTTTTGTTGGACATAGCAACCTCCCAAGCCTTTCACTATTTGTTAATGTATATATTTGCTAACCTATATTCTATGACTTATCTCTTTGGTAGGTGAGGGGTTATAGACGTGATTATATTCAGCATGTTCAAACTCAGGACTCCATTTTGGATTCAGTTTGCTTACCACCTTATTGGAGTTGGATGTGTCTGCTTTAGACCTCAGTGGAGGTGGATGCATGTTTCTTTATGGACTTCTGTGAGTACAAGTATACCTAAAGACTATGGACTATTGAGAGAATGATACCCTGTGTACTCAACACAGAGAAGAACTACATCTCATCTACTAATTGAACTTTAATAAGCAATGAATTTGCCTGTATGGTGAATTAATATAATTTGTTGTTGTTTTTGTCATGTCAGGAGCGACTTGAGAAACTGCAAGTCGCTACTGGTGTGAGAGAATTGGCCGTCTGCAAGGACGTTGTCCAGGGGATGCCTGGATGATTTTTGATGTTTTTATCATATTTGTGGGAGACTTCTCTCATGTCCCCACTTGGGGAGCTGGAGCTGACAGAAGGAGCTCATCCGCCTCTCCCCGGATTTGAACCTGCGACCTGTCAGTCCTCAGTCCTGCTGGCACAGGGGTTTAACCCACTGCGCCACCAGGGGCTCCTAATAATAATAATAATATTTTTTTTGTTGTGTCAGGAGCGACTTGAGAAACTGCAAGTCGCTTCTGGTGTGAGAGAATTGGCCGTCTGCAAGTATGTTGTCCAGGAGACGCCCGGATGATTTTTGATGTTTTTATCATCCGCCAACAATAACAACTACTTTCAAAGTAAGGACCACACAATTAAACAGAAAACAACACTTTCAAACCAGGAACAGAACATTTTTCCCATTTTGTTACAGTGTGTTATCATCTGCCGTGACAGACAGTCCAAAAGTGAGAGAAAAGAAAACAATAAACAAGATCTATGACAGTAGTTCTCACCCTGTGGGTCCCCAGATGTTTTGGCCTACAATTCCCAGAAATCCCAGCCAGTTTACCAGCTGTTAGGATTTCTGGGAGTTGAAGGCCAAAACATCTGGGGGACCCACAGGTTGAGAACCACTGACCCATGAAGAGTGGTTGATAAAGCAGGGTATGTTTAGAATGGAAAATACCAAGAGGTGATGTGATTACCATCTTCAAGGAAAGTTAATTCCATTGCTCCCAACCTATCATATATTACACAGCAAAGACAGACATCTTTTCTATTCACAGATATTCTGGAGGCACCACATACCTTTCCTTTTAATGGGACCAAGAACACTGGGCCTGATGCAGTTGATGGGACTCTGGCTTCTCCTGCTAAAAAATATACATAGAAAGACCCAAATTCAGCTGCAGCATTAAAGTTCGACATTAACATATGCTTGACCGTTACAGACATGTGCTTCTCACCTTAAGAACAGACAAGCATCCTGAGCTCTGAGGATTACCTGGGAAGGAATCCCACTGGAGCATTGCAGCGCACCCCAATACCTGGGAGTCACCCTGGACCGTGCTCTGATCTACAAGAAGCACTGCCTGAATAACAAGCAAAAAGTGGGTGCTAGAAATCAGCAAAAGCTGACTGGCACAACCTGGGGATCACAACCAGACACAGTGAAGACATCTGCCCTTGCGCTATGCTACTCTGCTGCTGAGTATGTATGCCCAGTGTGGAACACATCTTACCACGTTAAAACAGTGGATGTGGCTCTTAATGAGACATGTTGCATTATCACAGGAGAGAGAGCTTTTCCTGCTGTGGCTCCCCGACTCTGGAACTCATTGCCTGGAGTAATTAGGAAAGCCCCTCCCCTAGAAATCTTCAAAAGAAATCTAAAAAACCTGGCTCTTCCGCTGCGCCTTTGATGAGTAGGTATTTAATCCCACATGATTGCTCTGCCTCAAAGTTTTGTCATTGGAGTATACGTCCTCCCTCATGGGAACGCTTGATTCCACAACTCCCGCTAAAATGAGCCCTCCTTCGTAAATTACCTGCTCCCCTCTTTTATCTCGCCCAAGTTTTTAATTAGTTTTAATCAGTTTGTCCTTTTAATCATTACATTATTATTGTGTCTGTGCATTTTTAAAAATTTTATATTGTTATACATTCATATGTTTTATGTAACTATGATGTTATTGTTTATTGTTCACGTTTTCGGTTTGTTTTTGGTTTTTCTTTATTGTAATTGTCATTTGGGCTTGGCCTCATGTAAGCCTCTCCGAGTCCCCATTGGGGAGATGGTGGCGGGGTATAAATAAAGATATTATTATTATTATTATTATTATTATTATTATTATTATTATTATTATTATTATTATTATTATTATTATTATTATTATTATTATATTGGTCAATTTGTCTCCAGAACCTCACCTGGAACTGGGTGGCTCTGTGTTGGTAGGGCTTGGCTTCCAGCCTAGCAGAACAGGGCTGACTGGATAGCCTCTTAAGGGAGGAGATCTCTGGCATTTCTAGGATTCTTTTTTTTTTTTAATAATCTTTATTAGCATTTTTTGTATATTCATACAGTTAAAAGATGCTTTTAAAAAGAAAGAAAGAAGTTTAGATAGCAAAGAAAAGAAAAGCAAGAGAAAAGGAAGATAGAAGAAAAATATTCTAAATGGGTAGGAAGGAGTGTGTATTAAGAGCATTGTGAAACAAAGATCTTAGGTTTCCTTCTTCATTTGGTCTGACTTCCCGGTGTCTTCGGTGAGGGATTCCTTTTCTTCCTACCTTGAGTTTCTCCTTTTCTTATCTTCTCTCTTTGATTCACGAGGAAGGTTTTCGTCTTTTCTTTCCTTATTTATTCGTTTTACTTAAAATATTCATTTACTAATGTCCAATCAGTCTCCTTCTCTGTTATTCCTTTGTATTTCTGTATTAAATAGCTTAGTCTGTGCATGTTTCTCACTTCCATGAATTTCACTTCCCAGTCTTCTATTGTGGGTGTGTCTTCCTTTCGCCATTTCTTGGCGTAGCATATTCTTGCCGCCGTTGTGGCGAGAAATAGTAGTTTGTCCTTATTTTTTTCTACCTTCTCATCTGTGATTCCTAGTAGAAATATTTCCGGGCTCAGTGGTATATTTATCTTTAAAATCTTCTGCAATTTCCCTTGTATTTCTTTCCAATATGTCTTGGCTTTCCTACAGTTCCACCACATGTGGTAGAAGAGCCCTCTATTTCCCCACATTTCCAGCATTTTGTGTTGAGATTTTTATAGAATTTTCCTAATTTTTTCGGGGTCATATGCCATCTGTAAAACATTTTGACCCAATTTTCTTGGCATTTCTAGGATTCTAGGCTGTCAGASGTAAAAAAAGGGAGGAGGAAGAGAGTGCATGGGGTGGGGAGGGGGAAGAGAGAGAGAGAGAGAGAGAGAGAGAGAGGATCTGGAGCAAAGTGTGTGTGTGTGTGTGTGTGTGTGTGTGTGCAGGACGAAAGGGGGATCCTCCGCCCACCAAGGCAATGAGGCTTCTCTCCCCCCTTTCTTTCTTGCCTTACAGCCCACAACCTCCCCCCCCCCCTCCAATTTAGAAACAAGGCTGGGTTGGAGAGGTCTCCAAAGCAGGAGAGCGGYACGCGGCATTTGCCAAGAGCAGAGAAAGAGAGAAGGAGAGCCACAGCATTTCCTTTTCCCCTCCCATCCCTCCTTCTCTTTTGATTCACCCCTTCCCTCCCTTCCCTTTGGAGATGAACTTTCCTCCTTCTTCCAGTTTTTGCGCAAGGGAAGGGAAAGAAAGCCACCCACCCGCTCTCATGAGCACATATCAAAGGGTGCAATGTTTCCAATTGGCCACTTGATGGGGTCAGTGTTGTGACTCAGTTTGATTCTGAGTCTAAAACTGAACCCTGTGGGTCTTGTGAGCCAGGGATCCCTGACGAAGAGGATGATGGGATTCAGATTTCTGTGGTGACTGCTTCAGACAGTGCAGCAGGGGAAACATCAAGTCAGTTCTCTGGGGAAAAGAATGTCAGTGGGATAGATAACGAGCAGGTGGAGTTGTCTTCATCTCCCCAGCCTTCCCACGGTGATCTAGTCCAGCTGGACCAAGATAAAGAGAGCCTTGAAAACAGTGAAACAATGCGCAGGCAAGAACGCTTAGAATTAAGGGTCCGGAGGAGCTCTCGCTTAGCTGGTAAGCGAGAATCCAAGTCGGGCAAGGGTTATCGCAATGCGTTCATGATTGCAAAGGGTATTTAGCCTTCTCGCTGACAAACGGGAGTTGTCAATTCAACGTGGCTCTTTCCATGCAAACTCCTATGGATTAATCTTGGCTTTAAGCAGCTCGCTTTTGGCTTCCTGAATCTGGGATTTTGGGTCTTGTGTTTCACTGTTTTACTATGGACTCTTGTTTGATCATTGCCTAAGGATTATGCTTTATGTTTTTGCCTTTGGATCTTGGGAACTGTGTTTTTGCATTTAAGCCTTTGTCCTGCTTATGGAACATTTTGCATTTCTTATTCTATGTTTTGACTTTGCTTTTTTCCTCAATAAACTACAAAATCTACAGTTCTGGTATGGTGGTGTTTGGGAGCAAGGTGAAACTATCTTGAGTTGCAACAGTCAGATAACACACAGTGTCGGATGAGCTGAGGTCGAATAATCGGGGCTCTACTGTATTACATTTATTATTTTACTCTATTTACTGTTATTATTATTATTATTATAGTTATTATTTTACTGAATTTATTATTACATGTACTACTTTTCTCCATTTTTATTATTACATTTATTATTTTACTCTATTTATTGCTATTATTACATGTATTATTTTACTCCATTTATTAGTACAATTATTATTTCACTTCATTTATTATTATAACATTTATTATTTTAGTCTCTTTATTATTATTGGAAGGATACGTAAGCACATTTACACTGAAGGTTAGAATAACCGTTTAATCAGAGTTGGACAGTCCTATCTTCAATTACAGTTTTCTGTAAAGATTCAAACACATTTGACCTACTGATGCCTCAATTCATGTAATTTTATTGGTATGTATTTTTATTTTGAAATTTACCATTCACGGCTGCATTTCCCACCCTTGGATTATACTCGAATCAATACGTTTTTCCAGTTTTTTGTGGTAAAATTAGGTCCCTTGGCTTATATTCAAGTCAGTTTATACTCGAGCATATACAGTAATAAAAAGACAAGAAAAACCAGCCCAAGCTTTGCTGAAGCAAACAGCCAAATGGAATAAATCTTAGAGGGACTCCTTTTGCTCAAGACATTCCCAGTGGTCAGTTCTGTTATTACAGAACATTATATTATTTGTAAGGCTTATCAACTCACTTTGAAAACCTCCTGGTGGGGCTGGGAATGGGACTCGGAGGCAGCCCATTACTGCTCACAAACATTTGCAAAGATGGCGAGAAGCATTGCTAAAAGACACAAAAAACACGAGATTTAAATTTATTTATTATTTATTAGGAGCATTTCTATTCCATCCTTCTCACCTCTGAAGAGGGACTCGAGGCGACTACCAACAGGCACTATTTGGTGCCGAACAATAAAAACAAGGCATAATATACATTTAGCACAGTGGTTCTCAACCTTTCTAATGTGGTGACCCCCAAAATAAAGTTCCTTGTGTTGTGGTGACCCCCAACCATATATTCGGTTATACTTAATAAATAATTTTGCTACTCTTATGAATTCTAATGCAAAATCTAATATGCAGGATGTATTTTCATTGTTACAAATTGAACATGATTAAAGCATAGTGATTAATCACAAAAACAATATATTTAGGGGAGTATGGACAATGGATGATGGGATTTGCAGTACCTTCAACCAGTTCAGCTCTGACTTCCACAGACCACTGTGATCCCCCGCGAATTACAGACCTGGACCAAACTTGGCACATAGAACTCCCATGACCAACAGAAAATACTGGAGGAGTTTGGGAGGAATTGACAGTGATGTATGGGAGATGTAGTTCACCTACATCCAGAAAGCACTGAGAACCCAAATGACTATGGATCTGGACCAAACTTGGCATGAATATTCAATATGCCCAAATTTGAACAATGGTGGAATTTGGGGGAAATGGATCTTGACATTTGAGTGTTGCAGTTGCAAGGATTTATAATTCCTCTGCCATCAGAGATCATTCTGAACTCCAACAAAAATGGAATTGAAGAAGCTTGGCATACAGAACTCCCATAACTAACAGAAATTACTGGAGAGGATTGGGGTACATTGGCATTTTGGAGCTGTTGGGATATATAGTTCTCTCCCATCCAAAAGCATTCTGAACTCATGTAACCATGGAATGCACTCAAACTTGGCACAGAGAACTCAACTCCATGGTGAACAGAAAATACTGGAGAGGACTGGGGTACATAGACCTTGGCATTTAGGCGCTACTGGGATATATAGTTCTCTCCCATCCAAAAGCAATCTGAACTCATGCAACCATGGAATGAACTCAAACTTGGCACAGAGAACTCCCTCCACCCATCCCTCCTCCCCCCCTTCTGAGCTCGGAAGGAGGCAAAGGCCGGGCGGTGAAGGCTCCACGGATGGCCAGGCATGAGGACAGCAGGAAGAGGTTTACTCACCTTTCGGGCCTGAAGAAAATGTGAGTCTTCTTCCCCCGTGCCTTTGCCTCCAAAGCTCCTACTCCTGACTACCCACAGGTCTGTAGGAAGAGCAGGAGGAGGAGCCTGCCAGGAGTGCCATGTGTCTGGCTCCGGGGGTTGGCAGCCATTTTGGAGGGGGTGGGGCCAGCCAAGGCATCTTGGCGACCCCCAGAAAACGGCCTAACAACCCACCTTTGGGTCGCGACCTCCAGGTTGAGAACCACTGATTTAGCATATACTAGCTGTACCCGCCACGCGTTGCTGTGGCCAACCTTCCCTCCCTCTTTCTCTCCTTCTTTCTCTCTTTCCTTCCTTTCTTCTTTTTCTTTCCCTATCTCTTATCTTTCTTCCGTCTCTACCTGTTTCTTTCCTCTCTTTCTTTGCTCTTTGGTTACATCTTTCCTTCCCTATCTTTTGTTCCTTCTCTCCTTTCTTGCTTCTCTTTCTTTCTTTCCTTCTTTCCCTCCCTGCTTCTCTCCTTCCTTCCTTCCCTTTTTCCCTCCTCTTGTTACTTCTTGACTGTCCCTTCCATTTAATATTGTATTTATCTCTTAGAAAGAAGGAAAGGAAGGAAGGAGGGACAGGAAGGAAGGAAAAGAAAGGAGAGGCAGGAAGGGAGTGAGGCAGGAAGGAGGTGATGAAGAAAGGAGGGAGGGAAGGAAATGAAGGGGAAGGAAATGAAGAAAGGGAAAGGAGGAAAAGGAGGGAGGTAAAGAAGGAAAGGAAGAAGGGACAGGAAGGAAGGAAAWGGGGAGGGAGGGKGGGAGGGAGGGAGGAGAAGGAAGGAAGGAGGYWGGAAGGAGGGGAAGAAAGGAGGGAGGGAAGGAAATGAAGCAAGGGAAAGAAGGAGGAAGGAAAAGAAGGAAAAGGAAGGATGGACAGGAAGGAAGGAAAGAAGGGAAGGAAGGAGAAGGAAGGAAGAAAAGGAAAGAAAGGAAGGAAGGAAAGGGAGGAAAGAAGGGAAGGGAGGGAGGGGAACTGGCGGCTGGCCGCTATTGCGCATGCTCAGTTGTTTTGTCGTTTTGTGGATGTGTTGTTTTGTTGTTCTTAATTCTGATTCTGTTTGTTTGTACCTAGTGGGTTAAGGAAGGTGCATGGGAATTTTGGTTGATTTCTGTTGGGGGGTTTTTGAGTTTTGCTTCCTCGTAGGACGCCACTTCGGATTTTATATATATAGATTAAAACAATTATAAACACATTAGAACAGTTCACCATTTCACTGTCTTTTAAAGTCATTTAAATAGTTTTGAGTAGATCACAGTAACAACAGCACGTTCTTTATTTTGAGGATTTTAAAAATATGGTTTTAAAAATTAACACTAAAGCCACCTCCCAAACCAGCCACAAAGCAATGAAGTCACACCAAGACACTTCTTTAGAATATAAAAATCCAGCTTTCAAGACCTACCTTTCCTATGCCCCTTGTAGGGGAAGGTGCCGGGGAAACGGGAATAAAGTCTATCCTCTTTGGAGATGAAGATTTGTCAGATTTGTCCAAGTCGTTGTCACTCTGAGAACACAAAGCACGAGGTTTATAGCCTCACAGGAGAGAGAAATTGGAGGCACTGAGCCTCACAAGAGAGTGGAGCCCACAGGATTCCCCAACTGCAGGTCATTCCACTCTTTCACTTTTAGGCCAACTGATTAAGCGATGGGGTGGCATTAAAACATCCGTAAAGAGATTACCAGGCTCAAGCTTTCCTCCCATGACTGGCTTATCTGCATTGCTGTTTGCACTTCCCTAAAATACAAAAAGGCCCATTAGTGTCTGCAACGGGACAGGAGTGAGCACAGCGTCATGGCACTTTAGTCATACCCACCTCTCGTGTGCTGTTTCTCTATTCATCAAATCCACTCCTTCCTCCTAGGGAAGTATAAGAAGGCACGTCTTAGCTCTTCATGACTTCTGGCGGAGCAGCAGCATATCAGTTGTCATATCAACCAGAATTAAAGCTAAACTGCCTGACTAGCAGGAGCACCAAGTGCAGGTGGAGGGCACCATTTCCGAAGATGTGAGTTGCATGTTTATGTTTCCTATATAAATGCCTACAAACCAACTGTGGAGGTGTCAGGGAGACAGCTTTGAGACACCTTTGTTAGGGTGTTTTTTAAATTTTATTTTTAAGGAGGAAGCGTTCGAACCACTGCAGCATCCAATCTCTGCAGTGGATCAAAACAGTCCTACTTAGTTCTATTGTGAACTAGCTTAGGGACCCGGCGGTGGCCGGATTATTTGAGAAGACATTGTTTGTTTTGTGAAGTTTGGTAGTATCAGTTTGGTAATGTGTAATGCTATTTATTAGAGGGAAAAAAAGTCTTTCTTTTTGTTTTTTAAATAATGCTTCCATTAGAAAATACATAAGGATGTGAGTGAACTACAATTTCCAGAATTGTGGGTCAGTCATTCCCAAACACTGCCATTACTTAAAGTTGGCCATGTTGGATCTGTGTGCCAAGTGTGGTCCAGATCCGACAGCAGCTGAGTTCAGTGATATGTGTGAATGTTTCAACTGACCACCTTGATTAGCATTTGATGGTCTGGCAGTGCCTGGAGCAATCTTTTGTTGAGAGGTGATTAGATGTCCCTGATTGTTTTCCCTCTGCTGTTTTGCTGTTTTAATAAACAAAATCTGGCTACCAGTATTAAAAAACTCTAAAATTACAACCAGAGAAGTCAGCCATAGCAGAGCACCTGATGAACCAACCTGGGCACATCATATTATTGGAGAACACAGAAATGCTGGACCACTCTCACAACCACCATGTCAGACTACACAGAGAAGCCATTGAAATACACAAGCATGTGGACAATTTCAACAGAAAGGAGGAAACCATGAAAATGAACAAAATCTGGCTCCCAGTATTAAAAAACTCTAAAATTACAACAGCAAAACAGCAGAGGGAAAACAATCAGGGACATCTAATCGCCTCTCAACTAAAGATTGCTCCAGGCACTGCCAGGCCATCAAATGCTAATCAAGGTGGTCAGTTGAAACATTCACACCTAGCTCCAGCAGACAAGAGTCCTTTGTCCCACCCCGGTCTTTCCACAGATAAACCCATTTTCCTAGTCCCAACAGACCTCACTACCTCTGAGGATGCTTGCCATACATGCAGGTGAAACGTCAGGAGAGAATGCCTCTAGACCATGGCCATATAGCCCGAAAAAACCTACAACAACCCAATTCAACCTAGTTTGTGGCAGCCACAAAAACAAAGTTTCTGGAGTAGAATTAACTACTTTCAAAGTAAGGACCATGCAATTAAACAGAAAATAACACTTTCAAACCAGGAACAGATTTTTTTTCCAAATTTTGTTACGTAGTGTTACAGTTGTATAAGTTAACCTTCATAAATATAGCATTTGTGCCTCTGTAAGCTAGAATTAATGGGCATGCTGAACTGGTATTTAAACCATTGAGACAATAATTTTATCAAACATATGCTGAAGCAGTTAAGAAATCAGAAAAGAGATACGAGTGTGCCATACTTATACATAAATAGAAGAAATGGCAATGCAACTCACCCTTCTGATTTGATGGAGCCGGCTGCTAGGGATACGAATTGGAGATGATGAGATCAACTGGGGGAAAAATATACATAAAGTAAAGACAAAGATCCAACCAAAGGAAAGGTGTTCTTACCATACATCAAGGGAACCACAGACCACACAGGGAAGCTGATGAAAAATCACAACCTACAAACTATCTGCAGACCCACCAAGAAAATTCAACAAATGTCACATTCAGAAAAAGACAAGAGGGATCCTCTCACCTCTGCAGGAGTTTACCGTATATCATGCAGTTGTGGACAAGTCTACATAGGGACCACCAAACACAGCATTGCCCAGACCCAAATCAAGGAACATAAAAGGCACTGCAGACTACTTCAACCAGAGAAGTCAGCCATAGCAGAGCACCTGATGAACCAACCTGGACACAGCATATTATCTGAGAACACAGAAATGCTGGACCACTCTCACAACCACCATGTCAGGCTACACAGAAAAGCCATTCAAATCCATAAGAATCATGTGAACAATTTCTACAGAAAGAAGGAAACCATGAAAATGAACAAAATCTGGCTCCCAGTATTAAAAAAACTCTAAAATCAGGACAGTAAATAAAGAGGAACACTCAAACAACAGGGGAATCCTACAAAGGAAACCATCAGGGCCAGCTAACACCTCCCACCAAATAATAATAATATTAACACTTTATTTGTACCCCGCTACCATCTCCCCAAGGGACTCGGTGCGGCTTACATGAGGCCAAGCCCAAACACAACAATACACGCAATAAAAACAACAAGCGACTAAAATAAAAAACATGGACAATAAGATATGCAACATTAACAATAAGACAGCACACAATTAAAACTGTGGGAAGGCCAAATGTAAAATTAAAACTGAAAATAATGCTGGAGCATGGGCGAAAAGGACTCCCCCAGGCAGCAACCAGCTAGGCTTTGAAGCTGCAAGGTCATTAAATGCTAATCAAGTTGGCCAATTGCAACATTCACACTTGCCTCAAACAGACGAAGAATTCTTTCTCCCACCCTGGACATTATTCTACAGACAGACAGACATCCTACTTGCCTAGTTTCCAACAGACCCCTCAACCTCTGAGCAGGCATGTAGCCGGCGGGGGGGGGGGGGGGGGGGGCTTCCCCCCCCCCCCCGAAATTCTCATGGTGGTCCGTGAAAAGGCCTTACTGGTACATTATTTAAACTGTTATGTTTATTCATATCATGATCTGATCATCATGCTCAATATATCTCATATGCATGGAGGTACTGAGGTAACGATACAAAAGGTTTGCTAGGGTAGACTCAGCCCTCCCTCCCCCCGAATCAAACTCAGCTCTCCCCGAAACAAAATCCTGGCTACGGGCCTGCCTCTGAAGATGCCTGCCATAGATGTGGGCAAAATGTCAGGAGAGAATGCTTCTGGAACATGGCCATACACCCCGGATAACTCACAGCAACCCAAAATAAACATACTTTTTGAACACCTTCAGCACTCAAAATGGTAATTACTAAAGAAATGCTGTGTTCTACAGGAAGATAAACCAACACCTTCCACAGCTTCAGCTCTCTGTAAATTGTGCATTATTCTACTTATATGAGCTCTCTTACATTAATGTAGAAGAAATATACTACCACACAGCCTCTACTCCAAGGCAGGTGGCCCTGAAAACTCCTTGAATTTTATAGCACTGAAGGAATATTCATTCTCCTAGAAGAAAGAAGAATGACAGGTTTCCATCATGCAGAAGCAACCAAATGCCATGATCTAAATAAGCAGCAAAGGAAGATGTGAGTGGGTTGGCAACCACTGGAAAATCTGACTAAACATTTCTTCATAACTAAGCAACACAATCTGCTTTGCCGAAACATTAAAGAAGTCACTTTTTGTTTCTACTCATGTTTACACAACTAATTCAAGTATTGAGGGGGAAACATACACAGAATCAGAGTTGGAAGAGACCTCATGGGCCATTCAATCCAACCCCCTGCCAAGAAGCAGGAATATTGCATTCAAAGCACCCTCGACAGATGGCCATCTAGCCTCTGCTTACAAGTTTCCAAAGGATCCTCCACCACACTCTGGGGCAGAATGTTCCACTGCTGAACTGCTCTCACAGTCGGGAAATTTTTCCTAATGTTCAGGTGGAATCTCCTTTCCTGTAGTTTGAAGCTATTGTTCCACATCCTCGTCTCCAGGGCAGCAGAAAACACGCTTGCTCCTTCCTCTCTATGACTTCTTATACATGGTCCTCATCATGTCTCCTCTCAGCCTTTTCTTCTGAAGGCTAAACTGCCCCAAATCTTTAAGCCGCTCCTCATAGGGATTATTCTCCAGACCCTTGATCCTTTGAGTCGCCCTCCTCAGGACACCTTCTAGCTTAGAGTCAACATCTCCCTTCAATTCCACGCTCTGGTTACATCCTGTATAGACTACTGCAACGCTCTCTACATGGGGTTGCCTCTGAAAACTGCCCAGAAGCTACAACTAGTCCAACCAAAGGCAGCCAAATTACTAACAGGAGCGGGGTAAAGGGAGCATACTACTCCTCTGTTGCATCAGCTCCACTGCCTGCCCAGTAGCTTCCGAGCACAATTCAAAGTGCTGGTGTTGACCTATAAATCCCTAAACGGCTCCGGCCCAGTTTACCTGTCCGAACGGATTCTCCCCTATGAACCATCAAGATTGTTAAGATCTTCTGGAGGGGCCCTACTCTTGGTCCCAGCACCTTCGCAATTGCGGCTGGTGGGGACGAGGGACAGGGCCTTCTCGGTGGTGGCCCCTTGACTCTGGAACTCTCTCCCGATGGAGATTAGATCTGCCCCTTCCCTCCTGGCTTTCAAAAAGCTGGTAAAATCTTGGCTCTGGGATATAGCATTCTCAGAATGATGATCAAGTCAATAACGGCCGACCACACTGGCAGATGGTGATGAATTTGTGATTTTACCTTGACGATTTGGCTGTATGTAATTATTTGATCTGTTTTGTAATGCATTTTAATGTATTATGATGTTATTATGGTTTAGCTTATTTGTGTATGAATTTTTCTGTTGTTAGCCGGCCTGAGTCCCTCTTTGGAGGTTGAGAAGACTGGGTTATAAAAACTCTAAATAAATAAATAATAAATAAATAATAGTGGTGCGGTGCCCAGAATTGGACACAGTATTCCAGATGTGGTCTGACCAAGGCAGAATAGAGGGGGAGAATGACTTCCCTGAACCTAGACACTAGACACTTATTTACGCAAGCCAAAATCCCATTGGCTTTTTTAGCTGCCACATGACACTGTTGCCTCATGTTTAACTTGTTGTCCACGAGGACTCTAAGATCTTTTTAATATGTACTGCTGTCGATGGAACCATGTAGACACTTGTATATATAATATGTAAGACTGGGAACTACAAGCTTTTGTGAATTACAACATAATTACAGAGCTGTATGTAAATTATATAAGACAACAAAGTGGCATTAGTTTTGCCTTCAAAATAATGTCAATTCTGTAACATTTCGTGCACAGTTTTGCAACACTGACGCCACAGAACTATTTCATAATATGGAAGATGGATTTCGTCTAATTAATTTCCACTTTGAGTTTAATTTCCTTTTATGTAAGAGCTGAAGTCACAATTGGAGAACTCACAGCCTCCACTTGATGTGATGATGATTATTATTACTATATATACTAGAATATAAGCCTAGTTTTTCAGCCCTTTTTTTAGGCTGAAAAAGTCCCCCTCGGCTTATACTCGAGTCAAGGTTATTTATAATTTTACACTGTTATTATTATTTTCATTTCATTTATTATTTTATTCTATTTATTATTATTACATTTATCATTTTACTCTATTATACATTTATTATTTTACTGCATAATTGTTATTGCTACATTCATTATTTTACTCTTTTTATTATTGTTATTACATTTATTATGTTACTCTCCTTATTATTATTGGAAGGATATGTAAGCACATTTACATTGAAGAAGGTAAATAATCATTTAATCAGAGTTGGACAGTCTTATCTTAAATTACCATTTTTGTGAATATTGAAAAATATATAACCTACTGATTCCTCAATTAATGTAATTTAATTGGTATCTATTTTTATTTTGCAATTTACCCGTAGCAGCTGCATTTCCCACCCTCGGCTTATACTCGACTCAATAAGTTTTCCCAATTTTTTGTGGTAAAATTAGGTGCTTCGGTTTATATTCGGGCCGGCTTATACTCGAATATATACGGTATATAGTGATTTTTCTACTTAAACCACACTTTAGCTTCAAAAGCCCCTTCTTTCTCAATACCTACCATGCTGTGCCGGTTCATAACAGTTGTGCTGTTTCTGCGGGTCCGCAAGACGTAAGGCTGAAACACCTGTGAATTGTCACTGAAAGGAGAAAAAAGGAATTGTTAATGAGAATTATATTGTTGGACATTTTATTTCTTGTACTTTTAAATTTCATACATATTTATTCATGAGTTTTGATTGACATTCTATGGTCAGTATTATGTCCATTATCTGTGTTGGTATAAGTTTTGATATATATATTTGTGTGTGTGCTTAACGGTTTTAATTCACAGTTATACATCATGTTTTAGATATGTTAAGTATTGCTTTTATATATGTCTGGCATTGTATTTTCGCCATTTTTTATGTTGTAAACCGCTTTGAGTCCCCCCCAGGGGTGAGAAAAGGGGTAAATAAATGCAATAAATAAATTGTATTTATTGAAACATTGGAAACATTCACACCTAGCTCCAGCAGACAACAGAGAGGAAACAAACAAGGACATCTAATCACCTCTCAACAAAAGTTTGCTCCAGGCACTGTCAGGCCATTATATGCTAATCAAGGTGGTCAGTTGAAACATTCACACCTAGCTCCAGCAGACAAGAGTCCTTTGTCCCACCCTGGTCATTCCACAGATATATAAACCCTTTTTCCTAGTTCCAACAGACCTCACTACCTCTGAGGATGCTTGCCATAGATGCAGGCGAAACGTCAGGAGAGAATGCCTCTAGAACATGGCCATATAGCCCGAAAAAACCCTCAACAACCCGGTGATTCCAGCCATGAAAGCCTTCGACAATAAATATGTATGTATGTATGTATTATTAATTGATTCCCCAGTCTTTGTTAGCTCCTCATGCTGCACACTGCACCTGTTGCAATAATTACTTTTTTAAAAAAAATAGCAAAGAAGTCAACCTGTATGAACTCAACATTTGAACATTTGTAAACTAGGCCTGTTTGCTTAACTGTAGAGGGCACTGATATGACAGAGTACCCAAAATAAGCATAAACGGCTGAACAAGGCAACTTGATATTCTCCTTATGTATATGGAAATATTCCAAGACCCCAAATACATGCCATTTGGATAAGGGGCACTCCACCTGCGCAGCATCTTTCCACCTCTGCTTTCCATGCTTTTGGATTACAACTCCCACCTACCTTTGCCAGCACGATGGGTGCCAGGGATGATGGAAGTTGTATGGAAGTCCAAAATATGTGCAATTCTTCTCTTTATGGACTTGTCACCCACAACCTAATCAAACCTACCCACAATGTGGACCAAGAGGCAATGGATTTGATGAGGAAGGAAGGCAAGGCCGACTTTTGGATCTCAACTCCCATCCACCTTCTCCAGCAAGGTGAGTTTTGGTGGAGATGGGAGTTGGAGTTCATCACCTCTTAAGTGAGGCCAAAACATCATCCTGGGGGGGGGGGGGGTTGGGCTTGAAACCCAGATTCACGCCAGGGAGGAAAGAAAGGCGCACTTTTGGATCCCAATTCTAAGCTTTCTCCAGCCAAGCCAGTACTGGGGATGATGGGAATTGTGGCTCAATACACCTTATTAAGTGGGAGGCTGAAAGATCACCCCACCGGGATTGTGATGCAGCTGGCTGAGTGTCAGCTGCATTAAGATCACTCAGACCAAAAGGTAATGAGTTCGAAGCCAGCCCGGGTTGGAGTGGGTTTCTAACCAATTGTGTGTAGCCTATTGTCGAGCTTTGCAATCCGAAAGTTATACAGGAAGATAAACCAACACCTTCCACAGGTGTAAATTGTGCATTATTCTATATATATGAGCTCTCTTAATTTAATGTAGGAGAAATATACTACCACACAGCCTCTACTCCAAGGCAGGTGGCCCTGAAAACTCCTTGAATTTTATAGCACTGAAGGAATATTCATTCTCCTAGAAGAAAGAAGAATGACAGGTTTCCATCATGCAGAAGCAACCAAATGCCAAAGGAGCCCCCGGTGGCACAGTGGGTTAAACCCCTGTGCCGGCAGGACTGAAGACCGACAGGTCACAGGTTCGAATCCGGGGAGAGGCGGATGAGCTCCCTCTATCAGCTCCAGCTCCTCATGCAGGGACATGAGAGAAGCCTCCCACAAGGATGATAAAGCATCAAATCATCCAGGTGTCCCCTGGGCAACGTCCTTGCAAACGGTCAATTCTCTCACACCAGAAGCGACTTGCAGTTTCTCAGGTCGCTCCTGACACAACAAAAAAAAATCCAATGGCATCCTCCATTCAATAGGGAAGGAAGATGTGAGTGGGTTGGCAACCACTGTAAAATCTGACTAAACATTTCTTCATAACTAAGCAATATAATCTGCTTTGCTGAAACATTAAAGAAGTAACTTTTTGTTTCTACTCATGTTTACACAACTAATTCAAGTATTGAGGGGGAAACATACACAGAATCAGAGTTGGAAGAGACCTCATGGGCCATTCAGTCCAACCCGCTGTCAAGAAGCAGGAAAATCACATTCAAAGCACCCTTGACAGATGACCATCCAAGCCTCTACTCAAAAGCCTCCACCACACTCCAGAACAGAAAGAGAGTTCATCTGCTGAACACCGTTAGGAAGTTCTTCCTAATGTTCTGGTAGAATCTCCTTTTCTGTAGTTTGAAGCCATTGCTCCCAATTCAAAGAGTGCCCTAGTTTCCAGGGCAGCAGAAAACAAGCCTGCTCCCTCCTCCCCATGACTTCCCCTCACATATTTATACATGGCCCCCATCGTATAAATGGGGGCCATGTATATCTTGACTGATTAGAGAGATGGGCCAAAACTAACAAAATGAAGTTCAACAGTGACAAATGCAAGATACTCCACTTTGGGCAGGAAAAACGAAATGCAAAGATACAGAATGGGGGACGATGCCTGGCTCGAGAGCAGTACGTGTGAAAAAGATCTTGGAGTCCTCGTGAACAACATGTGATGTGGCAGCAAAAAAGCCAATGGGATTTTGGCCTGCATCAATAGGAGCATAGTGTCTCGAGATCTAGGGAAGTAATGCTACCCCTCTATTCCGCTTTGGTTAGACCACACCTGGAATATTGTGTCCAATTCTGGGCACCACAATTCAAGAGAGATATTGACAAGCTGGAATGTGTCCAGAGGAGGGCGACTAAAATGATCAAGGGTCTGGAGAACAAGCCCTATGAGGAGCGGCTTAAGGAGCTGGGCATGTTTAGCCTGAAGAAGAGAAGGCTGAGAGGAGTTATGATAACCATGTATAAATATGTGAGAGGAAGCCACAGGGAGGAGGGAGCAAGCTTGTTTTCTGCTTCCTTAGAGACTAGGACGTGGAATAATGGCTTCAAACTACAAGAGAGGAGATTCCATCTGAGCATGAGAAAGAACTTCCTGACTGTGAGAGCCGTTCAGCAGTGGAACTCTCTGCCCCGGAGTGTGGTGGAGACTCCTTCTTTGGAAGCTTTTAAACAGAGGCTGGATGGCTATCTGTCAGGGGTGATTTGAATGCAATATTCCTGCTTCTTGGCAGAATGGGGTTGGACTGGATGGCCCACGAGGTCTCTTCCAACTCTTTGATTCTATGATCGTGTCTATTCTCAGCCTTCTCTTCTGCAGGCTAAACATGCCCAGCTCTTTAAGCCGCTCCTCATAGGGCTTGTTCTCCAGACCCTTGATCCTTTGAGTCACCCTGCTCTGGACACATTCCAGCTTAGAGTCAAATTCTTCCTTCAATTGTGGTGCACAGAATGGGATACAGTGTGATTCCAGGTGTAGTCTGACCAGAGGGGGAGCATGGCTTCCCAGAATCTAGGCCCTAGGCCTGCCCCTGCAGGAGGCGCTGGGAGCTGCAGTCACCTGAGGCCGTGGATGAGCGGGGCGCTGTTGGAGCGCCTCAGGCCTCCCCCGTCGCCGCCGCTGTTGCTCCCGGCCGGCGGCAGCAGCTCCAAGTCCAGGTCCATCTTCTCGGCCTGAGCCATGGAGGAGCAGGAGGAGGAGGCGGCCGCCTCCACAGGCCGCGCCGGTCCCGCGCATGCGCCGCAACGGGACCGGAAACCGGAAAAGGCGGCCGCGGCGCGAGAGAGGGGCGGGAGTGCAACCCGACCCCAACGCGCATGCGCAAAATGTTGCCGTCTACGCTTAGCCTTCCTCAGTTCTGCGCAGGCGCTAACAGCACGGCTTTGTGTCGTCACACTGCCCTTGTTTCCTCTCTCTCTCTCTCTCTCTCTCGGTTCTGCGCAGGCGCACAGAGCAAGGCCCTCCCCCCTCTGTGTCGTCACACTGGCCTTGTTTCCTCTCTCTCGCTCGCTCTCGGTTCTGCGCAGACGCAAAAAGCAAGGCCCTCTCCTCTGTGACTTCACACTGGCCTAGTTTCCTCTCTCTTGGTTCTGCGCAGGCGCAAAAAGCAAGGCCCGCCCTCTTCTGTGACGTCACATCGGCCTTGTTTCCTCTCTCGGTTCTGCGCAGGCGCAAAAGCAAGGCCCTCTCTGTGACGTCACACCGGCCGTGTTTTCTCTCTCGCGCTCTCTGTTCTGCGCAGGCGCAAACAGCAATGCTCGCCCCTCCTCTGTATCGTCACACTGGCCTTGTTTCCTCTCTCTCTCTCTCTCTCTCTCTCGGTTCTGCGCAGGCGCAAACGGCAAGCCCTCTCCTCTGTGTCGTCACACTGGCAATGTATCCTCTCTCTCGCTCTCTCTCTCAGTTCTGCGCAGGCGCAAACAGCAAGGCCCTCTCCTCTGTGACGTCACCCTAGCCTTGTTTTCTCTCGCGCTCTCGGTTCTGCGCAGGCGCAAACAGCAAGGCTCGCCCCACCTCTGTGTCGTCACACTGTCCTTGTTTCCTCTCTTTCTCTCTCTCTCTCAGCCACAGTTCTGCGCAGGCGTCAACCGTAAAGCTGTGTATTGTCACGCCGGCCTTGCTTTTCCCCTTACTCCCTCTCTCGGCGCCCCGCCCCTTTCGAACCCCGCGTTGAACTCGATTCGCGATTGGTTGCCAGGCTTTGAAAACGGCCAATCAGCACACTGCGTTTGAAAACGAAAGGGAGCTAGAAATTAATAGTGGAGCTTTGTTCGCGAGATTGCGAGTTCGACTCCCGCTTTTTGGAAAATTATTTTAAAATGAAATAAAATTCTGTATAATATCCAAAAATTGTTCAATTATATTTCCCCCCTTTTTTTAAAAAAAGAGATCACTGTGTGTTTTCTCTCCCAAAGCAGCAGGATCTATAAAACAAAGAACATAGAGGGAAGTTTTGTAATACATTGGTGTGAAGTGGATAGGAACTTTAGAAGGGTCTACCCCAGGAGGAGAGCAAAGAGAAGCCTAATTTTAAGCAATTTATTTTCCCTAAGTTCCCAAAAAGAATCTCACCAAAGTTGAAGAAAGCGCCACCGAGATGATTTATTAGCGATTCAGCTAAAAAGGATGCAAAGCGGCAATCATTCGCCAAGCTAAGCATACATGTACACAAATAAACGCCATTTTTATAGAAAAAACAGAGTGTGTGGTTTGAATCCCCTCCCCCCCGCCTGGCTTGAAGGTGATTGGCCGGCGCCTCAACAGCTGGGAGGAGGCTTGTCTGCCCTTCGAGCGCCTGGGCCAGTCACAGGTCTTCTGCCGCCTTGGCGCGTCGACGAATCAGGAGGGAGGGAGGCGGGACAAGGGAAGACAATGCATTCTTGAATGGATTATGGCGTTACAGGAAATGTCCTGGGGGCCTAACGAGTCCGAACCGGCCTTCAAGAAAAGCCAATCTATTATGTCATGATTGACCTGAGATAAGCATCGATGTGAGCGATACTACTTAATCCGTGTTTTCCTCTTGCGGTCAGACAGGGGCACAATGGGGGAGATTTTGGTGAATGTCTTTAATGGAAAGGCTTGGTCAGGAGGAAGAAGACTTCCCGAAGGTCCTCTTTCCTCCCATTGTAATGGGATTAAAAAGTATGCCAAGTGATTATCCCCTTGATGGTCGGCCTCCGAAGTCAAGGAGATATTTCTTTGTTATTTTTCCATGCAATAAATGTCCTAAGATAAGGGTTTCCACAATCGCTAATTGTCTCTTCAGAGGCAGGGCAACTTCCTTACACATTTTTCCTCAAGGAGATAGGAAGGGGGCAAAAGGGTCAGGGCCAGGTCAAATACATGAAGGGAAATATAGAAATACGGAAGAAAATATTAAAATATAGAAATCATAATACAGATGGTAAACCCAACTGCCCTCCCCCACTGTCCATAGTTCATATTATTCATAGGAAGGCCCATAAAGGGAAATATATCATGAGGGGGACAGTCCCTTGTTTGTAAGATGGAGGACCATCAGGAGCCCAGGTGTGCCTCAGATGGAAAAAGTCAAATACTTTTGTGGCATGACTTTCAGTAATAAATTGGTTACCTTCTGCTATAAACATATGAAAATAGGGCATAAAGCCTTGATTAAATGATACACACCAAATTGACCAAGGCTTACCCCTTATTATCCAGCCTGGTGTCCTTGCCCTTAGCAAAACTATGAGTTACTATCTCTTATGGGGGGGGGGGTCATGTTCGACTTCATCAGGAGCTACTTGAGAAACTACAAGTCATGTCTGGTGTGAGGGAATTGGTAAGGACATTGCCCAGAGCACGCCCGGATGTGTGAGACTTCTCTCATGTCCCTGCATGGGGAACTGGAACTGACAGACACACCCTGCTCCCTGGATTTGAACTAAGCAGCTGAGGGGGGAAAGGAAGGGGCCCGAGGAATTGTGGTAATTGGAGTCTAAAACACCGGGAGGACCCAAGTTTGCCCACACCTGGTGCAGATGCACCCCAGATCTTTCTACACACAAAGATACACACACACACGTCTGTGTGTGCTGTCACGCGCTGGGCCTATAGCAATTGGCTTGCTCTTTGTGCCCAGCGGGAAGCTCGGGTGCCTCAGCTGGGAGGCCCTAAAGATTTTCCTATACAGAGTTTTTAGAAGCTTGAAAAGTTTAACAAAGTCCTTTATTATTGCTTAAGTCTTCAATAAAACCATCAAATACTTCTCAGATCTTCAACAGGTCAAACAAATACTTCAAGGCTTTGAATCAACTGGTGGCTTTCTTAATCTTGTCCACAAGGGACAGGCAACTGGCTTCGTGAACTGTTTCTTTTTTTAAAGAGGAAAACCCTTTTTAACCCCTCCTTGGGCAATCTACTTTCTAAACTTTGCTGGTGTGGGCTCTACTTCCGGCTCCAAACTGCTTCTTGGGTCCCGAGTAGACCTACCAGCTAAGGCTTTGTAGATTCTCCAGCTGGAGTCCTTTGGAACTGTTTCCCCCCGGAATTTCTGGTGAAACAAAGCTTCTCTATGGTTTGAGCTGATTCACATCCTGTAGCTAAGCTTTTAACTGTAATACTGAGCTAAAATGGCTCCCTTTCCTTCCTGAACCCTAGGGGAAAGGGCGGAACTAAAAAACCCAACGATAATAGGCAGGTGGCTGCAAACCAAGGGAAGCCACCTTATTGCAAAATGCATGGAACTTTGGAATATATGCAAACACTCAAAGAAAGAAAAGGAAGTTGGAGCGCCTGGTACAGCCGTACCAGCACTGTGTGTGTGTATGTATGTTCTTTATATCTAAAACAGGCGTTATGTCCCTGTTTTTCCCTGCAGACATTACCAGAACCAGGGACAATTGTGGTGGCTGGCGAAATCCAGCCGGCCAGGTGAATTAAATGGTTCAGATCTCCTCCTGGGATGGACTACACCTGTCTGCACATGAGGAAGTGAAAGACCAGTGGTTCTCAACCTTCCTAATGCCTCGACCCCTTAATACAGTTCCTTATGTTGTGGTGACCCCAAACCATAACATTATTTTCATTGCTACTTCACATCTGTAATTTTGCTCCTGTTATGAATCATCTTGTAAATATCCAAAATGCAGGATGTATTTTCATTCATTTGGCACAAATACCCGATACACCCAAATTTGAATACTGGTGGGGTTGAGGGGAGGATTGATTTTGTCATTTGAGAGTTGTAGTTGCTGGGATTTATAGTTCACTTACATATCAAAGAGCAATCTGAACTCCACCAGTGATGGAACTTTGGACACAGAGCTCCCATGACCATCAGAAAATACTAGAAGGGTTTGGTGGGTATTGACCTTGGGTTTTAGAGTTGTAGTGAAGCAAGGGGCTTTGAATGAAATTAACAGCAAAAGAGAGACATACCCTTTCTCTGTAGAAAAAGAGCAACATGGAAGAAAATGTTTTTAAGAAACAAGATGTGACATGTAGAGGTCGGAAGTTGTATTGTGGTTAAGTTCAAAGGTTGTTTTTTGAAGCGCAGAGTCTGCAGGTACAAGAAGGTACTTTCCATCAAAAGGTCAAGGGAGGGGGCTGGAAAGAGAGTACTTTCCATGACAAAAAAATGTTCTTGTTTACTTGAGGTTATATATTGGTGGTCAAAAGCCAAGGGGATGCGGCAGTCACTTGAAGGGTAGCACCTGCGTATGCTGTCAGGCTGTCCGTCTTCTTCATGAAGAAACTAAAATACAACCTTGTTTTTTTATCTTTTTTTGGGACTGTCTCCTTCCTTTCGTGCTCCCGTGATGTGGACCTAAGTATACCCAATTTAGGGTCTCTAACAGTAGTTCATCTACATCCAGAGAGCACTGATGCATCTGGACCAAACTTGGCACGAATACTCAATATGCCCAAATGTGGACACTGGTGGGGCTTGGGGAAAATAGACATTGACATTTGGGAGTTGTAGTTGCTGGGATTTATAGTTCACCTATAATCAAAGAGCATTCTGAACTCCACCAATGATAGAATTGGGCCAAACTTCCCACACAGAGCTCCGATGACCAACAGAAAATATTGTGTTTTGTAATTGTCTTTGGCGACCCCTCTGGCACCCCCTCGTGACCCCCCCCCCCGGGGTCCCGACCCCCAGGTTGAGAAACATTGTGATAGACGAATGCAAACCCTTAACAACCCTTGCAGCTTTTCATTGCTTTCCCTTTAAGGATATTAACCTTCTTCTCCTTTCTTATATTGAGATGGTAACATTCATACCTTGATTTCTCACCTGTTTTGGATGGAGGTATAAATTGGAGGTATTAAAAAAACCCTCAGTTTTGTCTTTGCGTCTTAAAGGAAGGAAGTGAACTGAAAGTGTTTTCTCAATACAGGTATGTTGAAAAAAGTTTTTTTCTCTATGAGACTATAAGTATTTGGGGACTGAAAGAAAATACAAATGGGAATCCAGTTTGTACTGGAAAACGACTCTAAAGCAGTGTTTCTCAACCTTCCTAATGCTGCAACCCCTGAATACTGTTCCTCATGTTGTGGT